AGCTCTGCAGTAATCGAGATAGACAACCATAGTTTAGAGCATCAAATTCTAGCAGGAAGGAAGTAATCTTTCCGTCTTAACGCTAGATTAACACTACAAGTAAAAGATATGTTAAAAAATCAAGGATTCCCGAAAAGAAGAAGATGGAATGAAAAATTGAATCACTCATTAAACTGAAAATAATCCAGCCTTTAAATAGGCTTTACAAGATAATATTATCTAAAAAGATAACTAACCAAACTTATCTAATCTAATTTAAATGATAACAACCTAAAACAAATAAATAACTTAAACTTCCTAAAATATAGAGATAATGGCTAAATAATAGGATCTAATTTCCAACAATCCCTCCCTTAAACTAAAAGTCTTCAGACTTTAGTTTAAAGAAATCTGGATAACACCATATCTGCAGATATGCAATCTGGAATCTGTAGACCCTCCCTCAAACTGAATTTTGCATGCTACAAACACCAAGTAACTCTCTCAATTTTGAAAAAGCTGCTACTTTGAGGGGTTTTGTGAAAATATCAGCCACTTGATCTTCTGTTCTGCAATAAATCAACTCAATTGTTCCATCTTCTACGAAGTTGCGCAAGAAATGATACCTCACATGTATATGCTTGCTTCTCCCATGCAAAACTGGATTTTTAGAAAGCTTGATAGCTGAACTGTTATCACAATAAATTGAAGTGGCCTCATGTTGATTCAGCTCAAGTTCTTCTATAATTCTTCTCAACCAAATAGCTTGACAAGCACAAGAAGTTGCTGCCACATATTCCACTTCTGTTGTGGACAAAGTCACAATGGGCTGCTTCTTTGAAGACCATGAAATTGCACCAGATCCCAACATAAAAACAAACCCAGAAGTGCTTTTTCTATCATCCAAATCTCCAGCATAATCACTGTCTGTAAAGCCTGCAAGATATGTTTGGTCACCCTTCTTGTAAAATAGTTTAAAATCTGCAGTTCCACATAAATACCTGAGAATTCTTTTAGCAGTCTGCAAGTGCAACTCCTTTGGATGCTCCATATATCTGCTAATCAGACTTACACCATGCATTATATCTGGTCTTGTTGCTGTCAGATACATCAGACTTCCAACAATCTGCTTATACAGTTTGCTGTCCACAGATTTGCCTCCTGGATCTTTCACGAGCTTTACACCTTTGTCAACTGGTGTAGTGACAGAATTGCAGTTCTTCATTTGAAATCTGTCTAGAACTTCCTGCACATATTTTTTCTGACAAACAAAAATTCCAGAATCTGATTGTACTACTTTCAGACCAAGAAAATAATGCAACAAACCCAGATCTGTCATTTCAAATTCAAGCTTCATGGACTGCTTGAACTTTTCCAACTTGCCAAAATCATTCCTAGTATAAATTAAATCATCAAGATATAAGCATACTATAATCAATTTAACTCCATCTCCAAATTTGATGTAAAGCGTATGCTCATAAGGGCACTTTTGAAAACCTTCCTTAAAAAAAAAAGCATCAATTCGACTATACCAAGCTCTAGGTGCTTGTTTTAGTCCATATAATGCTTTCTTCAATTTGTAAACCTTATGCTCAAAACCAGATTTCACATAACCAAGAGGTTGATCAATAAATACCTGTTCTTGCATATTTCCATGCAAGAAGGCAGATTTCACATCAAGCTGATAGATCGGCCATGAGTTCTGTGCTGCCAATGCAATCACCAATCTGATGGTATCCATCCTTGCAACTGGAGCAAAAACTTCTTGATAATCAATGCCAAACTCTTGCTTGTAACCCTTTGCCACCAAGCGAGCTTTGAATTTGTCAACCGCCCCATTCTCTTTGAGCTTTGTCTTGTAGATCTATTTAACACCAATTGTTTTGTGCCCTTTTGGAAGATCTGTCAACTCCCAAGTCTGGTTCCTTTCAATAGAACCAATTTCTTCTACCATGGCTTTTTGCCACTTTTCTTCTTTAACAATTTCTTCATATGTCAATGGATCACAATCTACAAATAAAGCAAAATGATTAACCCGAACATCATCTTGAGGTAGATCTGTTACCTCATAATCTTCCAACCATGCTGGTCTTCTCTTTTTGCGTTGAGGTCTAGAACTAGTTCCAGATTCCAGTTCTGGTGTTGTTGGCAGACTTCCTCCAGTATTGAACTCTACTTCTGTAGGCAGACTTTCTTCAACTGTCTGTCTTGAAACCTCGAGATCTGCTGAAGTTTGACCTTCTGAGTTCTCCACAGTCAAATCTTCTCCATTTTCGAAATCTGCAGGAATTTGTTGCCCAGATTTTTCTGTCCAAGACCAAGTGCTTGCTTCATCAAACACTACATCACGGCTAATGATGACCTTCTTACTTAAAGGATTGTATAATCTGTAAGCTTTGGACTGATCACTAACACCAAGGAAAACACACTTTTCCCCTTTGTCATCAAGCTTACTCCTTTTCTGATCTGGCACATGGGCATATGCTATGCACCCAAAAATTCTAAAGTAATCAACAACAGGTCTACGTCCACTCCAAGCCTCTTCTGGCGTCAAATTTGGAGGTTGAGATGTGGGACTTCTGTTCAAGATATGAACACTCCAATTAACAACTTCTGGCCAAAACTCCTTAGACAAGCCGCTCTTTGACATCAGACTTTGCACCATATTCATGATTGTGCGATTCCTCCTCTCACATACACCATTCTGCTGAGGTGTAGAGGCTGCTGTGAGTTGCCTTTTAATGCCATTGGACTCACAAAAATCTGCAAATGCCTTTGAATTAAACTCACCACCACGATCTGTACGCAGAACCTTTATAGATCTGCCAACCTCATTCTCAGCCAAGACTTTGAAATTTTTAAAGGCTGTTAAGGCTTCTGACTTGGTCTGCAAAAAATACACCCATGTTTTGCGACTATAATCATCAACAAAGGTAATAAAGTATTGTTTACCTCCATTGGATGTTGGATTTATGGGTCCACACAAATCAGAATGAACTAGATCTAGCACCTGCTTTGCTCTCCAAGATCTATCTTTAGGAAAGCTTTCACGGTGCTATTTACTGACCACGCAGATTTCACAAATTTCTGAAGGAGAATCAAAATGAGGAAGACCATTTACCATCTTCTTCTGCTGCAAAGCTTTTAACCCACCAAAATAAAGATGTCCAAATCGGCAATGCCATAACCAAGCTGTGTCCTTTAATTTGGTAGATAAACATGACAGATTTGTGGTCTGTAAGTATAATGGAAACAACCTATTTCCCGTCATCTTGACCTTTGCAATCAGACCAAGTTTTGAATCACGAATTTGGCAAACTCCATTTTTAATAAGGATTTCATATCCTTTTTCCTGAAGCTGTCCCAGACTGAGCAGATTCGACTTCAAATCTGGTACATACAAAAATTAGAAATAGTCTGAATTGAATTGTCTTTGGCACGAATGGTTACCTTTCCCCTTCCCTTGACTACAATAGTGGAATTATCACCAAATTTCACCTTGTCTTGACAAGACTCATCCAAATCTGAAAACGCAGATTTGTCTCCACACATGTGATTGCTGCAACCAGTATCCAAATACCACACATTCTTCTTGCTGACTTCTTTAGGATGACAGACCATGAATAGAGAGGAATCGTCATTCTTCTCATTGTGTTCTGCAAAATTGAAACTTTCTCCTCTATTCAGATTAGCACGGCACTCAGAACGATAATGGCCATACTTATGACATCTGAAGCATTCAATATTTGCCTTTCCTGCAGATTTGGATCTTTTATCTGCAGCTTGATAATTTCTGTTCTGCCACCTCTTCTGAATTCCAATAGCTGAACTTTCCTCCAATCTGTCAGATCTCGGTCCGCCAGATCTTGGTCTGCCTTTCCAGTTTTCTTTTCCTCGACCTACAGCCCTTGAATTAACTGTGGTTTGCAAGGCTTGTGTCTGCGAAATCTGCACTGCTTGCTCTTGCTTGTCTTTGCGATTTATCTTCCGCTCATGAATTAACAATGAGTTCTGCAACTCATCAAGAGAAAGTGTCTCAATATCATTTGACTCCTCAATTGAACAAACAACATAATTGAATTTTGTTGTCATAGACCGAAGGATTTTCTCAACTATAGCAACATCCTCCAGATTTTCACCATGGATCCTCATCTTGTTTGCAATAGCCATCGTCCTTGCAAAATAATCATCTA